ACAAACGAAGTTGCAGATTGGGACAAACAGAAAAATCAGCAGTAGCGGAGCACGCACTGCTAGACGGCCACCAAATACGCTTCGACGAAGTGGACGGTCTGCACCAATCTGAAAGATACCACCCGAGACTCACCAGAGAGGCCATCGAAATATTTAAACACCAAAACAATTTTAACAGAAAAGAAAAAATCACGGCACTCAATCCAAATTGGAAGCGCGTTTCGCGCCAAACAGCATGTGCGCCAAAGCGCTTGAACCCCCACCCATCCCCCACGCATGAGCACACACGGCTGGGCTGCATAAATACAAGAAATTCCCATAGACCACGGCTTCAAAGCCCGGAAAACATTCCTAAATGTGATTTATTTATTTAGTTAAACCAACTGGGCTAAATAATATAGATTAACATTTAATTTTTTTGTTCCATAAGTAAAACTATCTCTTATTTAGCTGACTCGGATTTCGTAATAGACAGGGTGATTGGCGTCACTCCATTTTAGGGGTTATAGGGGCGCACTTAGAGAGTAAGCACCAAAATGTTTTTCAAAATTTCTTGAAGATATGAACAGTTGAAAATTGAATGCCAGCCGTGTTATTAAGTAATATTTTGAAATAGTCTCATTTTTGATTGGGAGCGTATTGAAATACTTAAACATCGGATCATTATCATCAGAAATTATCAACTTTACTTCGAATTACGACAATTTTTCATATAAAAAAATACTATTCTAAATTTTGTTGATGAAAACTCAAAGCGGCGCTACAGTTTTTTGTCATTTTCAGGCAGTTACAGGTACATAACTTTTGTCAAGAATAACAAGCAATTGTCAAATTGGAACTTACTCTGAAGGTTCTTTCACAAAATGTACAGCAACATCGAATTGCTGATATGCCATTAGTTATGGGGGAATGTCACAGTAAGCTGCTTAAATTGTGTGCCTAGACTGTCAATAGTGCACAATAAAGCGGTGTGATACGGGCCCGCACAAACATGTTTGGAGTTAAACGGGCTTGGTTTCAAACCTGTTGAATTGAGAAGAACTGAGATGCTGGATCAAAATATTCTATTATCACAAGTTAATTTTTTGATGGCATCGTTTCCGAATGAGAACCCTGCGAGCAGCTTTTGCGAGTTGCGGACGAGGTTTATAATTCATCGAAGAGATGAATGTTTTAAAAACGATATATTAAACGTTATTTACAACTGTACTATGCTGTGACCTTCTGAGCACCAGGGAGTAACCACAATTCCCTATGTAGGCTTTGATGTTTGAACAAGAAACTGATAGTTCCAACAATCTTTGCGCTTGATATATTCCCTTATTAATGCGAATTGGGCTGACCAAAATATTGTATAAATAAATATTGTAATTCAATTGAATCTTCAAATATAAATTTGTTAAGGTGATATGGTAGGTAACATGAATTTTAAGAGGATTACGCATGAAAAATAATACATGTTGTTTTTGCTTTACCAATATAACAATCCACCAATTTAGATATAATCCATATATAAATATATTAGCATATACTGAAGCAGTGCATCATCAGTTTTCACTGAGAACTTTAATGTTTTCTATTGTCACAATTACTACAGACTCATCTTTTGTTTTCTTACAATATCACTATGGACAATTTAAGACATGAGTCTTCAAAATCGTTAGAACGATTGAAGAAGAGCTGTCTGTGTTCATTTGATCATTTCCTCTCAAGAGAAGCTAGATGAAATAAAAATACGATACAAAAACTCATTTCAAATTTCAGTTTTTCAAATTGTCAGATATGTCCACACTAATTGGTAATACACGAATTACAGAAATGAACATAAACTTCGCGTTATCGGCGAGCAACACGTGCAAACTGCGGCAACGAATTGAAACTTCGAAAAAAGAAAAAGCTGCTTGCTGCTATCGTTTTGTCTGTAGAAGGTGACAACACTAAACACCGCTCTATAGTGCGTATTTTCCATAACTAAAGCTAGTCAGTAAATGTCCACAATCGTGTGTGCATGGTATAGTTCAATAGGTTAACTTATCCAATCAATTATATAGGAAACTATTTAACTTCCTATTCGTCCAATCGACGCACCAATGCTGTTAATAATTGATAGTGTTTGAATGGAGTCAGTTCCGGTATAGTTCCATATAGGATTATTTAAATTAGAGTTTCTCCTATGTTCTTAAGGATTTAAGGCGACAGTGTTAATAATTTGCATTCGTTTTGGTAACGAGTTAAATACGAAATAGTTTTATTTATATGTTGTTTTGTCTCAAAAATATTATAAAATTAACTAATAAACTATGTTGTATTTCAATCGCTTAGCATTAAACGAGAAGTTAACAGACCAAAGATGCAGACGCAGCTTCATAAGGCATATTGGATTAGGTGAATACTGAAGTTCTTAAGTGATGATAACAATTTCTTCCACACATGCATGTCTTAGTGAACAATATCGACTTCAACAAGCAGTAACTTTGTAATTTTGAAAATAAACTGACTATTTATGCGGCTCTCATGGTGTGGTAAAAGCACGGGGTTTTAGCTATGCTACTAGCAAGCATTCTCGGGATCGATTGCGAATCTACCGGTTTTCCTCAGCTACGCTTAGCGGGCAAATGACACATTCAAAACAGTATTTTTACATTTTACACTGTCAAATATTAATAAGTATGTATGTTTATGCAATCTGAACTGCTTCCTGTGAAGAAATAGAAGAAAATATTATATTGGGGATAATGCAGATAAACAATTAATAAACATATTAACAAAATTAGAAACTTTCCATCTATGAAAATTTAAATTTAGATCACCTGTGTAATTTAGTGAGTTACAACAAAGTTACAATCACGAATATTTCATATGTTGGAAATATTTAAAAATAGATTGAATTTTTGCAAAAAAAAACGTAGTAACTTTTCTGAGATGCACAACTGATGTTTAATTAGATGAACTCTTCCGAATTTTCACATGTTATGAAACAAATCCTTCTGATGTTGTTCTGTATCTAGATGTTTTACATCATGAGCTAAAAAGCACGAAATTTTCAGACGGCCACGTTTATCTAAAATTATAAAATTAATTTAATTTCTAAAATGTACTAAAAACTGTAAATTTTTTGATTAAATATTAGGATATTGGACGTGTGGTTTGAAATTGCGTTTTGTTATACCTACCAGTTTTTCGAACTTGGACCAATATATTTGGAACTCATTTAAATTTTCACCGAAATCTCGAGACTTTTAATGGGATTTCTACTTTATTACCCAAACTGTACCCTTGAAAAGTTAGTAAAAACTTTATTGTACCGCAAATTTTGTTGGAAAACATAAATGTTAGAAAGTTTATCAGCAAACAATATAGATTTTTTTTCTGAAGCTATGCTATAGTATTTTAAACATAACTTTTAAAATAATTAATTACGTATTGTAAAAGTACCAAGCCTTTCAACTTTCTTTAAATATTGCTAAAATGTGCAATGAAAATTTAATTTGCACGTGTTCTGAAGCTGGATTTTACTCGTCCAGAATTAGAGCTCGCCTACCGAATTGAAGTTCTATAAAAATTATATGTGATCCGAATATGATTGAAACTAAAATATCTGCTAACTCAAATAAAGATTTAGCTGTCGTCGGGATAGTTGCATCTGACAATTTTAAACTAGGCAAATTTAATTAAAGGTCTCTTCTGCCTGAAAGGGACTAACTCTGTGAAACAGTGAATTAACTACGGTTCTCTCTTCTCACGGAAACATACATGAAAGCGCTTCCGTTCCACTGATTTAAATCTGGGTCGTCACTAATTTGCAAGTTTCTATAGAACGGTTAATTTCTGATCAGATTACATAACTAGCAGTTTAAAAATTTTAACGTGCCCATGTAGAAAACTTTTTTAAATCGGGATATGATGATTAATTTTTCCAAAAGATTAATTAATCCCCAGGAAAGTAAAAAAACATAGGAGGAATTTTCACTATTCTTAAATTTCCGTATCAATGAGTTTCCGTAGTTTTTATATGCAGAAAACCCTTGTGTTGCTTGCGATATTTTAGCCAACTGAGAAACGTTGAATTTAAAACAGATTTACTTTTAGCAGCTGATAAATACTAGCTTTAACTCATTTTTATTGTGCAATTAACACAAAAATGTTATGACGTAATTGAGTTATGGAAATAAAAATCAAAATGCTAAATGTAGTCGACAGTAATTATATTATTTTAGATTTAATACAGACATTATTAGTCACTGTTCCCACTGAAATATGAAATTTTATTGCAGTTATTAAATTACTCATGGCATCCTGAAAACTTCATTATGATCCGGGAATTACTCCAATATCCGCTTTTTCAGTGGCTTTCACTGTTTTCGTTTTGGCGAATTCACTTTGAAACAATCCCACCATTGCTTGGAATGTCTTTAGTGTTAACTGTTGATTTTGATTATGAAATTAAAACCAATTAATAAAACAATAAAATTGTAGAAATGTACTGCGTGTCAGACAAAAAAATAAAATTAAAGGTATATGGTTGTATTATATAGTACTTACTAAATGCGTTTCCATAATTGTAAAATTCAGCGAAAAGGTTTATACAGGATGATTCAAAGTTGATAGTATTCCTCTGGGGTTAATGTAAAAACATTAGAAAAGTTAACTGTTATTAGAAACTGCGATATTTACTACAAACACTATATCAGAAGGACAGCAACAATAGTTTTCAAAGTGTCAATCTCATTAACATTACGTAAGTACCTGTTGCTTTTTAATTATACTAAGCTGCAGTAACGATGGCTAAACACAACACAGAGAGACCGAACAGAGAAAATAAAAGTGGAAATTAAATATTTTGAGGTTACGATAATGTTGCCACTTTGCGGTAGTGCTCCCAACCTTTTTGGGTCAAAAGAGTGACATACCCGAATCCGCCACATATGTCAATAGAAACCTCAATTCGAACAGAGCCACGTCGAATTAAGTTGTTAAATCACATAAGGTACTCGAAATTGAGCTCGTTTAACCCTTTTGTGCCCCTGTGCCCCAATCACTTTATTTTCCACTCTTACCAGCAGTCTGGGCTCACATTTTGAGCAGCTTCTCATATTCGGTTAGTTAGTTTGGGTCCGGTCAATTTGTACCGGTGTTCAGTAAGCGATTGGTTTAATGTGTCCTTGTGTATCTTAAATACAGCGTATGTAAGTGTAACCCTTCTTTGGTGAATATTTATTGGTACATTTATCCGGTGCGCGGAAAAGTATCAGTTGTGCAGTGCTGCGCCTTCTCGGGCAACCCTATATTGCACTATTTGCGTCAATTCAAACTGGCTCAACAATCATCAAGATGGGACCATTTCAAAGTAATGCTTAATAACAAAGTTCAAATCCGATTTTCAATTGTTCATATTTTCTAGAAATTAAAAAAAATCAATATTTTTCTCGTACGCTCCAAGTGAGCGCCGATAACCCCTTAAAACGAATGACGCCAATTTTAAATGACCCCTTATACGTGGTTGATTTGACATCAAATATTTGATAAAAAAATTAGTTGAGAAAAAATCGACAATGAATATAATTTATGTGAACTTTTTCTCTTGTTAGCGTATATCGAATCGAATGAAATTTATAAACACCTAGTTCATTCTGTTTGCAAAGTTTAGAAAGTTTTTGATGGATATGTGGAACAGCAAGTTGGTGAACAAAAATTACATAATGCTTCTTATGTTTTATAAAGAAGATCGATTCGTCTATTATTTATCAAGGCAATTTTGTATCGTATTCATCCATTAGTTGGAAATTGTTTTTTAATATTTATTCAAGTCCAACTAATATTATCTAAACCTATATTATCTAAACCTAGTGCTCTTTGCCGCCCACTCTTTTTCCTGTTTTGTCAAAGGTCCATATGTTTAAAGGAGGAAGTAAAATAGATGTCGGCGGTATATTTTTAGGCGTTTAAGGATGAACGGCTCCCTCTATCTGGACCAAATAAGTGGTACATGGCGCAGATTATGCTTGGCATTGACTTTTTGTATTTTTTTAAATTTTTATTCACACTTTTCCATTTAAGTTGTATTCACTTTTAATACCATGCTTGTAAAAATGTTTATAGTCTGAATTAAAAATTTGTATACATCTCACTTTCACCGCAATTTTTTGATATTTTTAAATCTCTGGATCTCCTTTTTTTAAATACGCCTTTTTTGGTGCTCTTGTGGGTGGTGCTTGTGTTAATCATTGACCAGTATTTTTTTCTTTGTGGGATATCTCCCGAAGTACGGATTATTTTCTTATTGATTTAATCGACCCGAATGATGACGGGTTTGTTGAAAGTGCTCGTTTATATTTTTCTAACAATATATTTTCATCCCCTTGAATCGTTTACACACAATACGAAATAATATAATTGAATAAAGAATGAATTGATATAATCATTTGTGCACACAGCTATATTGTCTTCCTTAAATACAGTTTCTGTAATTTACAGAATTTCTTCAATCTATTAACTGGAGGAGTAATGTGTCTAAAATCCCAGGAAGGTAAAAGTGTGGTATCGACAATTGACCATTTTAAACTGTCTGCAACTGAACAGTTTTTTGTGCATTGCGAAAACCGGATGCCGCAAGGAATCTTCTATTTGAAAATAGGCAGTTGAATCCCCTATGTGACTTCAGTTTTCATTATCGTTATAAAATTCAAATTGCCTAAAATGCGAACACGCCGCAAAGGAATATTTTGAGCATGTCTTGAACGCCTTACCCGAAAATGAGCTTGCTATTTGCAGTTTGGCTGATGTTTATTTTCCGTACAACATTCAGATTTACAGATGAAAGATCAGTAATAATTCTTGAAACGAACAATTTAAGGACCTAAATGATACAACTGCAAAATGACAAATTAGTAGTAGTTTAAGTAATTGGTAACTTGGAACAAATTTAATTTTAAATTGTAGCAGAACCCTAATATTTTAGATGCAAGTACTTTTGAGTAAAAATCATCACTCATGAGAATAAATAACATTTAAAGTAAGTTCACCGTGTGATCATGTGCACACTAAATCCACTAAATCCACAAACACTCCCGCGTAAAGATGGGCTGCTTTTTCACAACATCACAACAGCCTAGATATCAAGTTTCGTTATGGATAAACATATGCGTCAACACGAAATCGTCGGGGTATATTAGGGTCCGATCCCAACTGCCGAAACTCTAGTGTTTACTAATATTATTATGACGGGGGATTGATTAAAATCCCTATAGAACAAAGGGCTGTAAGCATAAAGAGCTGTTCACAAAAACTTAGCGTGAAGGAAGTGTACGTTTAGGTTGAATAATGGATAAAGGATGGAGTTTCACGCACGCGTTTAACTTGATTAGGAAGAGTTATTAGAAGTTTTTTTGGTTTGCTTCATTTTAGCAGAGCTTCTGACCATATATAACTATTCAAATTTTATATTAGGTATTTTAATCTTAAACTCAATTTTAATGGGTAAAAATAATTTAAAACTTTATAAAATTATATATTAGTTTTAGAAAGAAATTGCACACTAACAAACAAAAAACTATTTTTAACGACTAATTTATTAATATCAATTAACCAATTAATTACTTTAATTGGTTTGATATTATATAAGACTGGATTTCATAATTTTTAATTTAAAATAGTGTGCCTAATAATAGGAAATACTACTTCTTGCGAAAAAGGCTGATTGAGTAAATATCCCAATATAGAACATTTTTCTGCTTCTGCAATCTAGTACAGGATGAATCAGTTGCGAGTAGCAGGACTTTAACGGTCTATAGAAAATCCAATTTTAAAATGACAATATCATTTCGCCATTTCTGGTGGGAAAACGGTTTGATATTTTGGGTTTTTTTTCGGAAATCGGAAAGAACCGATTTTCCAGAGATGCAAATTTTTACATTGAAAATTTAATTTAGATATTTAGAATAGTTTAATTTCAGTTTGTTCCTTTGTTGTGTATTAAGTTGCAATAAAAAAGTTTTCTTTAAATAACTGTTAAACAAGAGTAATTTTCTTACGTAAATTTGAATGGAAAATCCTGTTCTTATCCAGTTTGATACAAGTAGGCACATAACAAATATTATTATTTGATAGTTTGTGTCCTGTGACACTTGTCTGTGTTATTTGACACTTGTGGACATATCGTGGGCTAAGTCTAAAATATCAATTTTTGGAAAATGCACTTTTATACCGAGCCAAAATTATAGCAGAATTCTTTTGATAACTTGATAATTGAAAAAATATTTTACTGCACCTGTTTGTGTGGCTTTGGGGGCCTTGGGGGGTAAATTTTTTAAGACAAATATATAATTTTTTAAATTACTTGGTCAACAAACACAAGTAATGCAATTTTGGGCTTGGTCATGTTTAGCTTTAAACTCACGATATATGACTTTATTTCACATTTTGTATAGACCGCTAAAGTTCTGCTACTATAAACTGACTGACCCTGTATATGCATGGTATCCCATAATAATTTTCTTAGCTAGTTCGTTGTGTTTGTATGTGGTCTAGCACGGTTGTCGGAAAACGTAAGAGAAATTGTCTGCCATGTCTGGTGCGACAAAGTGGTTCTATAATCGTCTGGCCGTTAGGTTGCTTTTCTTTTTGTATGTAACTTAATTTTTATATTTTTGTGATAATTGTACTTCTGCATAGTAATTGATTTCAAGGACTGTGCAGTGGAATTTGGTTGAAGTTTAATTCTTGCAGTTAGTTGTAGTGCAATTTGCTTATTGGTCTAGTATATGTCATTTGTTTTTTTTGCTTGCGTTTGCTTTCAGAATGTCCATAATCTAGTACTTACCGACTTATTACTTTAAATATTTTGGTGGCTGTTTTATGATTATATTTTGTTTTTGTAAGTATTATTAGAAAGTGTTTTGGATTTTTACGAATTTATGTTCTGGCGTTTTCCGTGTGCTGCTTATTTTCAGTTTTGCCTCAATTGTAATGAACAAGTTTATGGACGTGACTACCTGTTTTTATCATTTGGCAGACCTTTTGATACAGTGAGTTCATTTTTATGGCCTTTCCTGGCAGCCTGCAATTGTAGAACCATTTCATTGCATTGCTTGTACGTGCCTGAACTCTGTTTGCTGCTCCCTGGTTAGCCATGGGCGATTAGTGCAGTGTCGTCTGCATACTGTAGGATAAATTTTGATTTGTCTACGCGTTCTCTTATTTCCAGGTCGAAATAGTATTTGTCACTGCAATATATGTTGCAGTAAAATGGTGAATTATGGGTCCTTTGTGGCAGTTTTTGCTCAGGAGATAGTTGGACAGAAACGTATTTCCGATGTGAATTTCTGGTTGTTTGTTGCGCAGTAGGTTCCGAATAACTTTCATTTGTGAAATTTATGGAGTGGTCTTTTACTTCATTGTTGATGCGCAGGCTTGCTGAGTTATGTCCATTTAAGTGTGCGGTCTGTAGATCGTTCGTCTAGATGCACAGTGAATGCGTTGTTGCAATTGGCTAAATTGGTATGTGCATTTGTGTTTTATAATTATTTCTTGCGACATGTTTTCAATTATGTGCTGAAAGAGATTGCTCAGTACCGGTAGTAAGATAATGGATCTGTAGTTTTGTATTTGTGTTGAATCGTTGCTTTCGGGGGGGTATAATTGTGGCGTTCTTCTATGTCCTTTGAACTTATTTGTTTTTAATACTGTGGTGAGTTTCGCGTTAACAAAAATATTTGCAAGACTTTAGGTA